TGTTTACGAAGCCAAGTCAGGAGTGCTTGTTTTGCAGGAATTCATAAGAAAGTGTTAGGGGGGAGGGGAGGGGCAAACATTCGAATTAAGAGCAAATTTATTCATTGTCTCGATAGCCTATACTTTTTCCAACTAATCACTCTTTTTAAACAGCGTACGAGATGTTTTCAGAACAAAAGGGTATCTAGGGTTTATTCTCAAAAACAAAAGGATTTTTTCTAAGGGCGTACGAAATTCTCGTAAAGTAACATGTCCCTCGTTGAGTAACTAAGATGGCCTGAAGATAAAAAGGAAGGAAGAACTCTAAAGGAATGAATCCTAACACTGTTTCATGACATTTAGAGTTAAATTAGGTGGGACCTCTTGTCAGTTATAAGGCTATTTGTTTTGTCAGATATTTGTTTTGAGAATGTTGCATTTTGCTGTTGATAATGGGAGAGTGAGGAAAATTTTGCGATTTGTACGTCTAGGTGTGCTTAGATAACATTGCACATATGTTGACCCTACAACATTTTAGTGACAGTGTATCGTGAATATCTTTGACAAATTCGGTGCAGGCATTAGAAAAGCAAAGATTAGAAGAGATAGATGCACTTCAAAGTAGGAAGGCCACTGAGAAGAAGGCTAGTCAACTATATGGCGTAAGTATGGCAAAATGATTCAGCTTTAGGAAGAAGAAGAGCACTTTCCTTAACCTAACAAGGTATAATTGCAAAAGGAGAGCACAGTATTGTCCAATTCATCCTACAAAATGTAAAAAGTCAATCACTTTCACTTTCACTTTCACAGGCCAATCACTTTAGATTGTTGCAAAAATGGTCTTTCCGGTCTTGCAAAGTATTAATGTTCTTGCCTTCACGTCCAGAAACCTGTATAGACTTCTATAGGAACAGTTTTGATGTCAAGGAGGAAACTATGAATGGACCGAAGCCAAGGGGTGGGTCTTACGAGTAACGACAAAGTCTATGGGTATTTTAGATTGGAGAAGAAATTTATTTAAGGAAACACAGGCTGGCAATGACAGGAAAATATTTAAGGGGCTTGGAAGGAATCCGTATGATTACACGTGTCGTCGGAAGGGTATATAGGACTGTTCAGGCAAGCCGGCATGAAGACTTTTCACGAATAGGATAGGAAATTGGATAAAACATTCAGCGGAGAAGAAAGAGGGTCTATAGATGAGTGGCCTATTCCAAGGAGCAAATCACTCTGAGAAAATCTCGTACACCTTTTGTGAAAATCCTATATTTTATCTGAAAATCCCCAGAAATCCTTTTGTTTTAGGCAAAATCTCGTACGCTATTTGCAAGAATCTCACAGAAGTATTTAAGATTCTAGCTTCTTCATAAAAGATTTTAATACTTTGTACAATAATGAGATAAAAAGGTATCCAGACGAACTACGAATAAAATTTTTTTTAACCAACCGAGTTTCATAAAGTAATTAACGAACAATGTTTTACACAAAAGTAATTTATAATGACTTTTACTATCCAGTTGAAATGTTTGTATCTCCAAATACATTTCAAAATCTCTAGGTTTTTTTAAAAATATAAATAATTTTTTTTACTCACTGTTCAATTTTAATGAGGCTAAAACAATAGAATGTGAAAATGCTGTTGCAATAATAAAAAATTTATCTTTACAAATGTCTCTAAGCAAATCCAGCTCTCCTGTTTTTAAAACTCAGACAAAGAGAAATGTCTACCAAAAATTCACTAGTTTGATATTATTTATGCATTTAGAATAAAAGTTGGATTATATCTTTTTCTAAGTTTGATATTATTTATGCTTCATTTAGAATAAAAGTTGGATTATATCTTTTTCTGATTATATCTTTTTCTGACTAATAATTTTGATTCGATAAAAGTCAATGTATATAAATTTTGCAAAGCCTATAGCTTCATTGAATATCTTGTAGCATATTGACCGTGTCGTAACTTTTTTATTGGCAAAAATTTACCTCTCTATAGTAGAGAGCAAGATGCTAATTTGTTTCTAAAGAACCTGATCAGTTTAACGTGTCTTGGCAAGATATCAACTTTTTATAAAGGCTTTCAAGGTCATGACGTCAGGGATCCTTCCACTTTATCATAAAATGAGTGTTCTCCACAATAGTGCTCAAAATAGAAAATAAAAATGGTTTAACTCAAAAAAAGATGGTCAGGCTGCAAAATACTAGAAGACTCTTTCTTGGAATAATTGGCATAAAAGAACATGTTCCTTGGGAATCTATGATCTGAAAAATTAATATCGACCTTTTAAAAACACAATTGCTTTTCAAATAAGCAGCAAAAAAGTGAAGGCAATTAAAAGTTAGAATTAGAAAACATTAGCGCATATTTAAGGGTATAATTTTTCAAACTGAAAGTGAGAGTTTCTCTGGTGAAATGTTGAAAAAGAAGCAAAGAAGTAGAAAATATTGGAAGTCAAGATTATTGGGCAAAGATCCTTGTCTCTGTGTTTCTCTTGCCCTTGACAAGAGACAAGACTAATGATGCAAAACCTTCCAGAAACAAATTTGGAAAAATTTCCTGAAATGCCTCTTTTGTAGAGATCTTATATTCAAAACTGACATTGCCAAAGCTAATTGCAAAATTATTTTAGTTGCAATTTTGCTTGAAGTGGTCTTCAGTCTGCAAATTATTTTCTATAAGAACCAGTGAATTGAAGAATTGAAGTAAAGGCTGGTTCTATTAATTTTTCTAAAACCTAGAGGCTTGATTTTCCTTAATTTGTTCTTAAATTGCTGAATCACTGAATACTGTGCTGAAAGGAAGTGACAATGCACCCCTAGATGGTGAAACTCATCTCTTTAGAGATGAAGTTTAGTTTTTTGAGGAGGTTTCGCAACTTTCTTCAATATTAAACTTTACAGTACTTCAGCCTTAGCTCGTTCTCAAATTTTTCTTTACAGTTGATAAATTTTGAGGCTCCTATTTTTATAAAATTGTTCTTTATAAAAATGAGCGTACTTTTTCAGCGCGTGGAAGTTTCAGGCAGTCTCAGTTAATGTTTTTGTATCGATCCTTTGTATCGATAAAAGACCCTTAGGCCTTTAAAATTGAAGTTTACGTGTTGTAAAACTTTAGCTAAGGTGGTCCTGCAATTGTGACGAAATTTACTGTATGTAATAAAAGAGTGTTGCGTTATCACAATGCTTTACCGGTAACGGCAACAAATCACGAAATGTTAGCGTCAGGGTGTGACTTAGTCTTGATGGTGTCCATTGTTTCCTCGTGGAGCGCGCCTTGAGATCAGCAAAGGAAGCGAAGTTTCCTGTTTAACATTCATCACACTAAAATGATCATAAAGACAATTTCAAGGCCTACTCAAGCTGATATAAAAAAATCGCACTCACTTGTTAATTAGTATTTTATTCTGGGTGGTTTGTAGTAGCAAAGGGTCGAGGGATTCAAAATTAGGACAACATGGGACGTGAATTCAGGGGGAGGCTTGCTAAAGTTGTAGAGCGGGAGGACCTTTGCAACTTGAAAACGTGCCTAAATTCAAGAATATTCAAAGATGTTTTTAGAAAAGTGGTAAAGAGATGTAAAAGCTACTGATAAATGATACAAATAAATCATTAATATCTCGTCGCGTCTGTGTTTTGGTATTTTGAAAATTTTAAATCTGGAAAATTTGCGCAAATGTCAGTGGTCTAAATGTGTCCCCGGGGCACAAAACTAAAAACCAGAGAGCGGGACGTATCTTAACCAGGTTGGATTTAGAAAAAATTTGTTCCCGAAAAAAGTACTAATTCTGTTCATGTCAGTTTTCGTCGACTTATCAATAAGCTTTGTCTATGCATGGAATTTTAAACTAATTAGCGAGCTGTGATATGAATGAAGGCTTTTCAGCGGAAAATAGGCCCTCTTGAAAAATCATCCAAATACTTTGCCTACTGAACCTTTGCTTCAATAGCTGTGCACAAACTACAAAATTTAAGGCAATTCCGAAGGGTGTTTTACACTTTCAAAACGACGTGATAGATTTCCAAAAACGAAAATATATGTGCGAACTTTCAATGGAGTGGTCTACATCTAAAACGTTTCACGCAAAACAATAAATTAACCGAGAAGATTATTCCAAAATTGTATCCCACGACTTCGTTAAGTGCATGTGCCAATAATTTTTGCACAGTTCTGTGAAAAACGACTCGTTTTTATCTCTTTAAAAACGACCTTTGTCGTTTGTTTTTAATACGGAAATCTTGGAGATGAGTGAAGCGAAATCAAATTACAATGCTCATTTCTATACAGAAAATTTTCTTTACATTTTGCCATAATCTTCTTGAAATTCTCTAAACGCCATCAAAGCTTCTTTTTAACCTAGTACATGGTAAGAGACAACATTATCTTGAAAATATTTTTTAGTTCAGCACTTAATATGTGATGAAACTGACAAATCTGATGGTAAATAAAAATCAAGATCTGGGAAGTTTTTATCTACACTAAGATGAGTTTTTGTTCAAAATTAATATTAAAAGGAATATCATAATTTTATCTCTATTTTCAAAAAGTTGAAAATATTGACCTGTTTCTACATGTCTTGTCTTTACTTATCTGCATAATGGCCCCCTCAAGTACAATTCTTCTGATGTTTGAGGGTAAACGAAAGTTTTAAAAAAGCCTTTTTCAAAACCTTCCTCCCACCCCTATTTAGCCCTTAATATCTATGAAGCCGAATTACAAAATAGAAAAAAGTTTTGACTTTTAGAGCAGAATTGTTTGACATTTGTTTTTATCCCTCTGTGTGGGGTTCCCTTTAATACATTTCACTACATGTAAGCAGTCCGTTTTGAAACCCCCGGTTTGAGTTGGCTTACGACGTACAGTACCTTTTCCAATGCTTCAACATTGCCCTTCCGTGATTGGGCAATTTAATTAATCATGTCAATGTAATCTGTCAATCAACTGTCAAGCATGAAATGAAGGCCAATGAAACGCGGCTTTTGACTCCCCGTCGTGTCAATCATTGACCAGGACAGATGCTTTGTGAAGGTTTCTCTGTTAAAGGCTGGTTTCGCGCGATTTCACCATTCCGTGTATTAACACAGGCGATCGCGAAGAGTAGAGAAGAGCGATGAGCGGATATCAGCGAATGAGGTGGTTTGTTTAGATCTAAGATATTTTGATAAATCAAATTAGGAGGTTAGAGAAGCTGACATAATCAGCATAAGATTATTACAAGATTGTTTGAAGATTGCTTTTGGATTGTTTGAGATTATCATAGTGGGATTCAGTCTGATCTCGCGGCTACAGTCATTCACAGCCCAGCGGATCCTTTTGGTAGCAAACGACCTGCATAGTGTGCAACCACCAGCGAGCTCAGTTGTTGCATTAAGAGAGAAAACGTAACTGGGTGAGAGGAAATTCCCGAGCACAAATCAATTAACCATTGTTATTGTTCAAGTTAAAAAAACACTGTATTAAATGATGGATACAGCGCAAAGAGGGTCAACCTTGGGACATTATTCAACACCAAGGTATCTAGAACAGCTAACACAACCACCAGGTTATCAAACACAGAGCAACCTTGGCTATTCTTGTTATGGATCAAGTGGAAGATCGTCACAAGGTTACTCATCTACAGGAGATTTTATGTATCGGTCGTCATTGCCTCCGCCCATGGCAGAAAATGCTGGTTTAGTGGCACAAGTTCCAGCCCAACAAAGCATTGGCATTCTACCATCTGAAAACAGCAGTTCAAGACAACATTGTATGTTTGCAGGCGGCTCGGTCTCTGGACATCATTCGAATAACTCTGGTCGATTCCATGATCACCAAGCTGAATACCAGAACCCTGCACATGGTTTCTACTCTGTACCACACCACGAAGCATTATCCCCACATTCACACTTCTCGAGGTACTCTATGAAACCAGCTGATTATTTAGACAAACAGTCACCTGGGCCTTATCCGAGTCCTTTCGATTACTACAGCAGTCCATACATGCATATGGGCTTTCAACCACACGGAAACTTCAGGCAGCCCTTGAACCAAGTTATCAGTTGCCAGTGGACAGATGCAAGTACCAAAAACAAGGCATGCGGCAAGCAATTCTTCGTAATGATGGACATTGTGCAGCATCTTGCAGAAGATCATGTTGGTATCAATGACTCAAACGAACATATTTGCATGTGGAAAGAGTGCCCTCGAAATGGGCTCCCATTTAAAGCTAAATACAAGTTGATCAACCATCTTAGAGTGCATACAGGGGAGAAGCCATTCCCATGCCCTTTTCCTGGATGTGGCAAACTTTTTGCGAGGAGTGAAAACCTAAAGATTCACAAGAGAACACATACGGGTGAGTGAGAACATCAACAATGCACACAGATTTTAATTTACTTACAAATATCTTTTAGAAAAATCTTCCTATCTGATTTTTCTGTTGATAATAACATCTATTATCTTTTTCTGACGAGATTACCCCGAAAACAGTGCAGCCTCTAGAAAATTTCTCTAGAAAGAAATCTTATCTCCACATTTTTGAGTACTTCACACCAAAACAATAGCAAAATCAATAAGAGCATTTTTCCTCTTGTATTGATCTGGAAGCATCCCACCTAGTAAAGCATAATTGCAATGGTCATAAGATGATGATAAGATGCAGTTGCATTCAGTATAATTTGCAATTTATGTAGAGAAAATAAGTAAACATAAACCTATTCAAATTATACGGTCTTGAATTGCATGAAGTCCTGTATTTACCATTTGGAGTTCGATTCACTTTAAAACTGGCAGCAAGTTATGAAGGTAGAGGAACAATTTTTAATAGTTCGTACAGTTGAAGAAACACGAATTAATGGACGCCGTGCTGCCAATTGTTAATACAACTTGCGCTTAGTACGATGGTCCATAACCGAATTAAAAGCCATTGTGCTTCGTTGATTGAATTTAGAGAAGCATGTTGGATTTGTTTTATGACTGAGCTGTCGGTCTCTTAACACTCCATAACGATTGTCTAGGTTTTTAGCACTGATTTTGTGAATAAGAATAAACAAAAGCATGTTAGAATAAATATCTGCGTCTATGGTGTCTTGCTATAGTGATGAGCATCTTAGAATTGTATGAACTTAAAACAACAGCTTTTCTCCTTCAATGAATGCTTTCCAATTGGTGTTCTTTAAAAATGTTTTGTAAATCACAAGAAAATTGAAAATGTACAACTTTGAACTATAAAAGTATGAATCGGATCATTTCTATGTCTGTAAGACACATGAAATTATATTTGTTGGTTGCAGGAAATTCTAAATAGGGTAGGGTGTTGGTTAATTTTATCATTGGGTGAAAGCTTATCAAGAAACAAAAATGTTCTCCACCGAAAAGAGCATTTATGTTTATGGTTACATACAAGTATTGTTAGGTGTTAGAATAATGTTAGCACTGCGAGGTATGAAAAAATAAGCTATTTTGAAAAGTAGCATTTCACGTCACGAAACAGACCATTCGGGAATTTTTCTAAATTCACTGTCAACAACTGATAAGTAAATTTAGAAAGCTATTCACATTGCACAAGAAGCCAGATGGCCTTTTCATGTCTAGAGAAAACGTTTTGAGGCCTACATCTCAATTTGCATTATATGTTTTGGTTAAAAACCTGAATAGAGAGTATAGCTAATTAATTTGTATGAGCAAAATTGAAGATTTTACCACATAAAGATTTCAATAATGGCTCACTGCAAGGCTTGTTCCTTGATAGTACAGTATTTCGAATATTCTGTCCTAGAACCATGCTGTTTTGTTTCCAAAACATTTTTCATGAGAGATTTTCCTGATTTGCTTGCCTTTGTAATCTAAAGTAAATACTTCTGATACTTATAAATACTTACTCATCATAAATACTTCTTTCGATTATCTATCAATTAGGCGCGGCAAAAACTTTACGCAGGGGAACCTATCGAGAGAGCTTATCAGAGCATAGTCCTAATAAGCACTATATATATTATCTATGATTGACTTCTTTTTTATTATTGAGATCAGATGTTTTTTATGCCTATTGCAGGAAAAGTGTATATATTTGGTAGCTAATCTAATATGTCCATCAAATATCAGAATATCGACCATATATATCTTTTTGGTACCTTTCATTTTTGCTCGTACTATTACATTTTATAGCCTGGTTATGAATTCTGCTAATTCATACAACTTTTTGTGTCTGATATTACTGTTTCATTATCTCAACCGGAACCCTTTTCTTTACAATCAGGTGAGAAACCATTTATATGCGAGTTCGAGGGGTGTGGAAGGCGCTTTGCCAACAGTAGCGATCGCAAGAAGCACAGTCATGTCCACACGTCTGATAAACCGTATGTCTGCAAAGTCGACGGTTGCAACAAAACATACACACATCCAAGTTCATTGCGGAAGCACATGAAGCTACATGGGAAGATCGATACAGTCAGCGTATCTGTTAAGGACATTAAAACCGACAGTAGCAGTGTAACAATGAGTCCAGAAACACCTCACTCAGTAAGTTGGTAGGCAGGTTAAAGACATTTTCACGACATTTTTAAACAATACAATTTTATACAACACAAGCCATGTTGAATGTTCTACCATACATAGTAGATTTTAGCATTAGAAATTTTGTCATTTGGGCAAAAACACTTAAAAACACTTTCATAATTCTAAGACCTAATGATTCATACTCGAAGTAAAGCTATGCAAAAGGGAAGTGTTGATTTTCGTCTGATTTTGCGAGAAGAAAAGCTTTAATCTGAATTAACGTCGTGAAAAGCTAACGTGAAATGGGTACACACATCAAGTAAAATGGCACCAATGAGTTATGAGCCCACTCCTCTACAATTTTTTGGCTATTCGTGAAGAATCTATGCACTTTCGTTTAATTATTATTAGCTCCAAATGCATTCTATATTCTCTGCCATTGATACAGGCGTTCCCTTCTCCCTTCACGTTTGATAACCACAAAGAGACAGAAAGTTTACAATAGTTTGTTTCCTTCAGTCCTGATGAATTTCAAGTAGATAATCCTTAAGAAAAGTTTTCAACTAGCTTTTTAAAGCCAAGGAAAGTCACACCTCATCTTTTACAAGTGAGCGGTAAGTGCACAAGACGAAACGAAAAGCACCCAATAAATCATTCGAAATTCGTTCGATTCTCAAAAAGGTGTTGATGTCAAATGCTTGAAACTTCTCGCTTATCATTGTCGTATTTAAGGACACCGAAATCTTAGAGAATTAGTTGTCACGAACGGAGATTTGTTCTTCGTTTGCGAGGCCGAGCCCGGCTTCATCTAGATGGTTTAGCAGACGTTTTTGTCTAGCTCGATCGCCAATTAATATGCAATGGAAATTAGCTTTTGAAAGTTACCTCAGTCTGGGTAAGCAAATCTTAACCAATTGATATATTACATGAAATTGGAACGAGCCTTGAAGAAACAAAGTTAGTTCTTAGCAAAAAACCTTACTCTCCAGACAAAAAATACTTGTTTCGTCCCTATGGCCTATGAAACTATATACATATATTCTGCAAGATAGTGTTATGTGCCTAGACGTGATTTCCATTACATCGTGTTTCACCCGTTGACACGAATTTTTTCTACAACTCGGGGCTTGACCACGGCCACTTCGTATACCTGTAGCTACATTCCAGAGAGCTAACTGTCGTTAAATTAACACACGCTTCTGCGATGAATTAGTGTTTCATCTTGAGGGTAAATTATGCATTCGAATCAATCATGGACATACGAAGTCATGTAGTTATTATAATACAAACAAAGTTCATTCACTATAGCTAAATGTTATGGGTTTCAAGCCCCTTTTGTATACCATCCCAATCCATTAACTTATCAGCTTGTATGGTATACAAAAGTACAAGACATCCATGGCATTTAGTAATGTAACTGCAACATACATTTTCTGTAAATAAGAATACAAGTAGCAAACGCAAGTAAACTGTTGTTTATGTAAATAAACCGAGATCGACCCTTTGTAAATCAGTGTAAACTATTACTTGCACATCGACTGATAATTTATACATCATTAAGTATTTGAAATTTATTGGATGATAATTTCATATTTGTTTGACATTTTTGATTTTATTTCTACTTGAAAGAGCATTTGTGTTAAGAAAAATATTAAACTGTTCGCAAATGAATTATTTGAAACTTATCAACGTAAACTTATTTGAAATTTATCAACCCCTGCAAATAGTTTCTTTTACTTAGTCTCTTTTTTTACGTTTACTAAATTCTAAGATTTCTAAAATTTAGAAATTTCTTAGGGTTATTAATAACCAATGCTCGACAAAAGAGTGATAGTGTGTAAGCATGACGGAATTTCAAACAATTGTAAGAAAGCATGCCGGGAACGGTTCTGAGTAATCATTGACACAGTCGATAATCGCGCGGGCATTGAAAGAAAGGAAACACAAGTTGCGAAAGGGATATTGCCTAAGGAATTATCTGACCCAACATGGAAAACTAATGGGGCAAATACTTCGGACTATACCCAAAGAAAAGCTCAATTTGTAGAGAAGGGGAAATAAGGCTACTAGCTATAGAATTATCATGGCTTCTCGATATGAAAAATGGATATATAAGTGACTGTGAACTAAAGGCCTTAAACCTATCAACGACGCGTGAGCCACAATAATGTGGCGGACATTAAGAATCCAGGAGTCGTGCATTTCGCTATATAATACTTTTGATATTAATTTCCACCTTAATAATCCAATAATATGCTTTTGTAAATGATGAAGGCCATATTTTATCAAATCTATTCGAATTTTTAACAACAAAACGAATAGGGCTTTGTTTTATCAAATACTCGCAAAGTTCTTTGAAAAACAAGTCTTTTTGTCTCGGTGTCAAAGTATGCGTCATTTTGACAAAATCACGTTATCGTGGCAATGGGTTTAAGCTGATCATAGCCCCGAAGCTAGTTCTTGTCCTGACCTTAACCTAATACACCTAGCCCTAACGCAGACCCATATATGCATATCTTGAAGAAAATTTGTGAAAAATTTGTGGTGCCCGGGTTCCTTGGCTCATTATTAAGGAACGTGACCAAGAATACGAAAGCGACATAAGTTCTCCATTAAGTAGAAAAGCACCAAAGAGCAGTTTTGGATTATTCGCTTTAGGTACAAAAAAGGGCAACAGTACCTTTCATTATTCGAGCATTGATATTATGAAAAGTAAGGCTTGGCTTGAAATATGTTATAGATGACAAAATGATAGGTATCCATTTATGCTGTTAAATAAAGCTCGTTCGCAAACAGACGAGAGCCTCGCCTTTCTAAAGGTTGATAAAAATAAACTGTAGCAAATATATAGCTTTTGAGAATATTCAAATTTTTCAGAAGGTACGTTCGAGATAATATTAAAACTGTACGCCAAATTAGGGGGAAAATGTTTTGAAATGCTTTGGCTTGAAAACATCGAATGAAATGAGACAATTGAAGACTAATTGCCTCTCACAGGTCTTAGGTTCTGAGAAAATTCACACGTTTATCAACAAACACTTAACATGTATACCGCTCGACCAAATCGAATACTTGGGCATTAAGAAGTCAAAACACCATTGAAATGGTTGTTTTCATTGGCTGAATCTCGAATGGTAAACCAGAAAGAGAAGCAGCGGAGGTCAATAGAAGCATTGCAGGTGGAGCCTATAGAGTGAATCTTGTCTTGCATGTTTGTTTTTATTCAGCATTGGTTGAATGAGAGCAGCACCACAACGGTGCGCTCTAATCATTTGTATAACGATGCTGAGTGCCTGGTATCGATTAACAAACTCTGCAGGGGAATGAATATCATTAGGGAATGCTATACAAACCAAAAGCATGTCGAGTATAGACAGTCCTCTACAAATGCCTCTTACTGTTATCTAAGCTAGGAATAGTTATTGTTAGAAAAAACTGGCATCGCTAAAGAGGTAGTTTGTTCGAGTGGTCTTACCAACAAGGCATGCTGGGCTTGCCACATGTCTCGCTTTTTGAAAAAATTTCTTTAGCATTATTCATTCCTTTGTAAGTTTTTCTGATATATCAATTTTTAGCTGGCTATGTAAGGAAGTGGCAAAACCATAACAGGGCTAAGGGACGAGAAGAGATGAAAATCAGTAAAATATTGATAATTTAACAACACAACGTCGACGAGAAACAGGCAGCAAGGGTAGAGATGTTGTGCAAGAGAATAAATTTGAGATTACCACTAAGGGGTGGATGATACATTTTTTGAATGGGAGTGTTTATAGCAGAATGGTTGTTTAAATAAGAAGAGAGAAAAGAGCTCAGATAGTTGTTTTTAAGGAAAGAATAAATTCTCGTTAGGGTAGGCGAGAGTAGATCATTCAAAAAAGGGGACTTAAGGCGGAGATTTAACACACCCTTGTGGAACACCAGAGTTAACCGAGTGAGAGGACTGGTAAGGAAGCCATCAACTCTAATAGAAATGGACCTATTAGAAAGGGGCTGCAAACGAATTGAAAAAGGGTGTAATGCATAAGAAATGTAGAAAGAAGACTTTTCATGCATGACATGAAGAGTCAGACACGAGCAAAGTTCTTGGAGATGTTGATGTCCTTCTGTTCTTACAAAAGGATTCAAGAAGAGAAGACGAATAATAGACCAGATTAGTAACGGCTGATGATCCTGCTTTTATAAATGTTGCCCCTTTCCTTTGATACAGATTCCGTTTAAAAGTTAGAGCATAATATTACTTTAGAAAATTTTAAATCTTGCTTTAAGACAAATTTATTTAAACTGTCTTTTAATAAATACATTGCTTTAACTTTGATTAGAATGAATTAAAACATTGTAATCTTTTGCGCTTTTGATATGCTTTTAAGCTTTCAATTGTGATGCGCCCATGAGCCCTTACCCTGGGTGCCAGAGCCTCAGAGAGTCAAAGGATGAAGAACAGGGGAAGGAAATGCGAAGGAGTCTCTCTTTTTTACTATTTCATTCTCCTTCGCAATTTCTTCCCCCGTTCTTCCTCCTATGACTCTCTGAGGCTCTGGCACCCAGGGTAATGAGCCCTGCGCATATATTCCGCAATATAAATGCTTTTATTATTTTAAATGTAGCACACGTTAGAGGATCATCTAAAGGATCACTTTATGAAACCATAATGGTGATCACTAAGGAGGTTCATGGTTTCAAGAAAGGTAAAGAGTTGTTTGGGGATGATGATTTCCTTTGTTTTAGGATCAGGGGATTTATTGTCATTGAATGATAGTTGGCGGACTCAGATTTGCCTCCCTTTTTGGAATATAGTTTGCTTCAGTCACCCTTGGCTGATTATGGTATAATTACTCTAAATTTTAAGAAATATTTTGCGCCATCTAAGATGTTTGTCGAAAGCTTTTGTCTGAAATAATCATGACGGTGTCCGAATGATTTTGTCCGAAGTTGACTTTCTGAAACATTTCTATCACGAAATTTTCTAGCTAGATGCATTTACCGGCACTGCTAGACTTGATAAGTTATAGTAACGAAAATTCTCGTATTACAGGATACCCAGAAAAGTTTGACTAATCTAGAAAAATTAGCCGTACAAATAACGGAAATACATTAAAAGCAAAATACAAATTTAGAAATGCAGCATTTACAACTATACCATGCTTAAACCTATCCTATTCCTATTTATTAATCCTGAGAACCATGATTTTTGGAGCAATGGCTGGAGAAGACAAGAAACTCGTTAAGCACTAAAGAACTCAAAGAATCACATCAAAATCATGCTTTCATTACTTTGGGATGAAAACAGGCAAAACATTTCTAACAAATAAGGAATGGACTTTCTTGATTTAGAAGCAGTGCTAGTTTTGAAATCGATTTTATGCTTTTTGTCTCATTTTCTTTGACCAAGGATTCAGTCAAAGCAACGAAGCAAATCTGAATTAGGGATTAGAATTTACAAGGCCTTGTATAAGCATAGAAAGTCATTGCAAGCTCGATAGGCTAAGCTGTACAATCATAAAATGTGATTGTTTAGAAACGAGTGCAACAATTCACTGTACAATCTGCAATTTGAGGTTATTGAAAAACATGTCGGCAATGTTTTCAAATTAAATGTTTCAAAAGTAGTCACTGCAACAGCTGATATGGATAAATAGATCATGGTTCACAAAACCGCGCAAAGACTTGTTGCTTGGACGGTATTTCTTGAGTATTATTTCTGCATCCATTTATCGATATATCGATTAGATAGCATTCAAAACTCTAGTTCTCGAGAGACAGAGTTGATTTTTAGAAACCACTTGTTCTTCAGTTGCCTAGAGCCACGGACAGTTGGCATTATCGTAAAGCGACTTTTGACATTATATGTTTGAAAGTTTTGGTCACACAATGACCTACCTAAACTTTTTACTCATTTTCTTCTTTCGTTAATTACCTTTTTGGGATACGGTTTCACATACTTGATGAACCGAATCTTAACAAACATACCTTTATCTGGAGATCACACAGCACTTGATATTTATATTTTTGCTATTTGGTAAAATAGTTCCTCTGTGAGATGTGCATAACAAATAGTTTCTCAACAGATTAATTATAGAGGCTACAATATCTTTTATCAAAGCAACAACAAGGCTTGATTAATGATGAGAAAATTCAGTTACCCCTTGGTTTTGCCATTGGTTTGTTACTTTTCTGTGTTTTATTTATTTTTGGTTGCTAGAGTAATAATGTTTGTTTAATAGGAATATTTTAAGTGCCCTTTACGGAGGGAATTCGATAAGTTTATGTTTTCAATCTGTGGATGGCACCATAGAGTACTTATTGCCTAGTTTCAGGTTTTATGGCTTGTTTTTAAAAAATATATGCACAAGGCATATATATTATTCTCTTATGATTGTTTTAATGCTTGGATGTACTTTGCCTACAATATAGGAGAAAGACCCTTAGCTAACGAGAATTCAGTTACAAAAATGGCGAGAAAAGATTGATTTTTGTATTAGTCAAAAGTGTTAAAGCCTAGTCAATGGTTTTCGGTACCTAAAACACTCTGCTGAGACAAAAAGATGAACTGTTTTGGAAAAAAAGCTAAAGGACATTTAGTTCAAAACAAAGG